ACGAAAAACCTATCCCCATTAAAAATCAAGAATAAAGGACAAATTTTATTTCCGATGAAATAAAAAATAAAAATCAAAATAATTTCAAAGTCAAAATTGGAAACAAAAAATATGATACCCGCCCTAAATCCACCCCGTTGCCTTTCCTCAGCTCCATTTTATCAAATTTCATTTGATAATGATAACGTGCCGCATTATCCAATTCCTCAGCTCCATGAACCCAAATGGAGTGTCAGAGCTAGGGCTGTTCATAAGAATGCCCAACCCGACCAAACCGACCAACCCGGACCGATCCAACCCGAGTCGGTCGGGTTTTCATCAGTACCGAACCGAACTAGTCTTCTACTAATTTGGTAGTTCTTAGTTTGAGTAGTTTCATACTTAACTATAATTAGTCTTCTATTAAAACTAGAAGGCCCATTAGGCAATTACAATTAGAATAGGCAATCTATCCTAGTTTCTAACTTTCTATAATCTTTTACACCAAATAGGCAACCCATTTGGCAATTACAATTAGATGTCCTTTTGTATAGGAGCAAAACCGAAACCGACTCAAACCGACCCAACCCAACTCAAACCGACTAGGTCGATTTGGCCTATTAGTGAGTCGGTTTCGATTTCCACCTCAGATAACCCGACCAGGTCGGGTCGGTTGGAAAAACCCCAATAAACCAACCCATAAACACCCCTAGTCAAAGTAATGTGAGGATGTAGCGTCCCCCACTAAAAGGTGCGGGTGCCGCCTTGAGTGGACCCATGCGTGAGGGTCCAATCAGCAAGCTACACCAGAAATCAGTATGATTGGGTGGACCCGTAGTGGATCGGCATACATTAAAGCTGATAAACTTAACTACTAAGGCGGTGTGTATTTTTAATTTAAAATCAGACTCATATAGGAGAGATTCTTAATTCACCGGATGACCTGCAATTGACGGATGTATTGAGTGTTGTTTTAACTTTTAACATAATAACGCCCCACATCAACCATCAAGTTATTGGTTAAAAAACACTCGAGATTTTTTACTTATTTTTTCTATCCATTCTTTACCCGCTGCCATACATCTCTATTATGAATTCAGAGATGTATGACTGTAATTTAGGGCAGGTAGAGAATGGGTAGAAAAATTAAATAAGAATTCTAGGCTCTTTTTAATTTCATTTGTCTCTTCCTAATGTTAATGGAGTCCAATTCAATTTATGGGCCCATTTGGTTCGTGAGAATAAAAGTTTTGAAATCAGAATCAGAGTAGGCCATTTCAATTCCAATTATTTGGTTGATAGAATTAAAATCTCATTATATAATGGTATTCTTCTATTTGACGAAATGACCATTCTCCCCTTTTTTGTCTTAGATTTGAAATCCTATTCAAACTGATTTCAATTGTTATTCCAATTTTTATATGAAACAAACAGACTATAATATAAACTATATTAGTTTGGATTGGATTGAAGAGATTGTATTCCCAACCACACGTCCACTCATTACATTCCGATTAAATGGGCTATAAGTGGGCTGGTGGATTATTATTTTAAGATCAATCATCACTGAACACCACCCCAGCCAAATCCACCCAATTGGCACTTGGCAGCCCTGTACAGTCAAATATATATTGAAGGGTTGTAGTAGAACCATCAAGTGGCCAAATTGTGAATGATGGAGTGTTATCCACTATTTGCTGCAAAGAAGAAGACTTGGCAATTGGCATTTCGCATTTGCGCGTGTCTCCCAAGGCTCTGCAGGTACTAACAAGGTCGATCTCATCATTCAATGCTCCTCCTCCTTCTCCTCATCTTCCCCCCATATAAGCCTGCTCCAGTCACTGCCCTCGATCTCCATGTTCCATGTTCACCAACCTAAGCAAATAAGAAATATATACTTTCCAATCAAATATCAAAAACTAACATTTATACTAAAAATCTAAATCAAAAGTAAGCTCGGCCCACTCGTAAAAAGTGAGCTTGAATCCTCTACACTTCTACCCGTAATGTGTATCATAGATTGACCCAGTCTGTTTTTTCCAAACAGCCAACCTTTTTTCCGCCTAAAAATGTTCCACCAACAACCTTGCTGTGTTACACGTGAACCAGCTCAATACTGAACCAGTGGGCAGTGGGACATTAACTAAAATTAACTCAGTCCTCCAACTAGTAGCCAAAAGAAAAAAAAAAAAAAAAGAAAATTAAACCCTTCACCTACTTTATCAATAATGTCTGAAACTTTTCCTGTAATATCTCCAAGAATCCGTCAAGATTTTTTATTTAATTGATTGCCTATATCTCTTCCTTTTTGCATTCAGCTTCATCTCTCAATTATTTAGACAAAAATGGTCTTTCTCACTGGATCATGGATTGGGCTGCAACTTGGGCAGAGTTAGCCTGAACCCAACCTTAATTCGGGTTGGGTCAGGTTGGGTTCATGATCGTGTTGACTTTTAATTTGCTAATTTGGCTTCTAGTTGGGTTAGGGTTGATCCCTCGGACAACCCAACCCAACCCAAACCCGACTCTACAATTGCTATACATATGTATTATAGTCCTAGTGCATACTATCATATCTATTTGTATTAATTCTTAAGCCCCACTCCAAATGACAAGTTATTATTAGTGGTTTTCATTCTTTACTATTATGCTTGGTTATTGTTGCTTTTATGATTTTAGGGTCTGTTTGGTTTGTAGTTAAAATCAGAATTGAAATATACTGGAATCAGAATTGGAATGATCTATTCCTTCCATTTGCTTTGTTCAGACTGGAATTAGAGTTGGAACTGGCATCAGAAAGAATGGATCTCATTCCCAAGGAAGGGGGAGGGAATGACCATTCCTTCCAATGGGGGAATACCTTTCCACTAGGAATCAGAATGGAATTCCAATTCCACCCAACCAAATGGTTGGACCATTCCAACATATTCTGATTCTAAATCCCTATTCGTGAGAACCAAACGAACCCTTAGATTTTCAATATATTGTATCATAGTCATAATATACTTTAATCATTTGAACATTTAGTTTTTTTTGGACTCTTGTGCTAAAGGAACCAATAAAAACATCAAACAAGCAAATTCCAATAAAAAAATATAATCATATATATTAGAAGCCTAGTTGTCAAGTGATGCCTAGGTGACAATAAGGTGCCCTTTGAGGCTTGCCTCACCTAATCGCCAAGCAGTTTTGTACTATTTTGTATAAAATACATTTTTATTCTTTATTTTTTGACATTATAATTATAAAATAGGCACTATTAAACTAAAATATTCATTTTGTGTGTTTATATATTAATTTCTTTTTATTATTTTCTTATTTATTAGGATTTAATCAATACAAACATTGCTAAATGCTGTATTGAACCTTAAAAGACTTTAAAACCTAAACCAATAAGTAAGGAAGAACTTAAAATTTTGTCTAATCTACACATTTTCTATTACTTTAACATGAACACTATACTTTTCTTATGAAAATTATGAATAAGGAAATATGACTATGGTACCTAGGGAACTATCCTAGAATCTATGTTTTCTATATAAAAAAATCAATTACCTAAGCGACTAGACGACAAGGCGCCTCCCTTACACCCAACCTCGCCTTGGCACCTTGAAAACTATGATTAAAAATTGAGTTTAGGCCTCTGAGTCAAAGATTAAGAGAATTTGAGAGATTTTAACTAGAGGATGGGAAAAGGGTTGGGTTGTGCCAACCCAAGTCAACTTAGGGTTGGAGAAGGTTGGGTTACAAGTTGGGTTAGGGATCAAAACGTTGGGTTGGGCTAGGTTTGACCTCAACTTGACCTAACCCGAAGCACCCCTAATCATGATGAACTCTAATTTCTATGAAACAATGATTAGATTGCTCAGCATATAAAAACCATAAAGACCAAGAAAGCTCATCGGACCAATGAGTCACTGGTTCAACCATCCAATCTGATTCGAATCTAAGAACACTGGATTCAATAATCCATCCTCTTGCCAAAATTTGATGTGGAAAATTCAATAAGGTGGCTCATCCGAGCTAACTGCTTATTAGGTTTGAGAGTAGTAGAGGAGTCCGGATCTGTTGGTAAGAAAAAAAAAAAAAACCAAGTCCATAAAAGATCTAATGATATGTGTAAGGGTTTTTACTTGTAACTCCTTATTTTTCTGGCATTCTCTTAAATTTATCAGATGTTTGCTGTTAAAAGACAAACAATCTATGTAAAGATTACCATAATACCCCTCTACTCATCTATGTACGATCTTCAAACTAAAATACTGATAATTTCACATTTTCCGATTGCCATTTGATGAAACCGCATCTCTAAATGGATATCGGCTTCAGTCAGTGCAAATTCCTCCCTTGCATTGGAAACATTTCCCTAATTAAGAATTATTCTTGATGTAAGATTATAAAAACTGTTCGAATAGGACTTGCACCGACTGAATCCGATTTCCTCTAATCGGACGAGGTAACTTTGGAGGTAAAACATTAATAATGAAAAACTGTCCAAGGAAATTCCGGACAATATCAATGAATGAATTAATAAATGAAGGGTTTAGATATAAATGAATTAATTTCTCTTTCTAATATGGGCACGCTACCGCCAATCAATGTATATGCATGTACATATATGGTTTAATTCAAGAAATCTAAACACCAAAACAAGCCATTTGTGTTTTGACAGTAATGGTGTCCGTTTTGGATTACATTCATATAAACTATGCACTTTATAAGCAATAAATGCATGACTTGTGGTTTAAATGCACTTAATTGAATGGCCACTTGCCTATTTTTTAACCAAAACAAAGAATAAAGAAAAAGAAAAAAGCCCATGAAACCTCACCACTAGCCACTAAGAAGTACAAAGCCCCTTCTCTCTTACAACATGCATGTGTCTGCTGGTAGCTAGCTCTTGCCTCCTTCACCCTTAAATGCTCTTGCTCAGTCTTCACCCTTTATATTGCTTGTTGCCCTGCTGGTTTCACAATCACACATCCTCATCATCTTCTTTCTCTTCTTTCTCAGAGGTGATTTCCTAGCTTCGGAAAGCTCAACCTTAGTTTGATTTAGCAAAGATGATGAGGTTTGCTGGAAGTGGGCTTCTGCTGAAAGTCATAAGCAATATTTTTTTGGCAGCACTCACCGGCATCTTTGCTTTAGGTACTGTATACCTTCTGGTAGGATAAACTTGAACTACAATCACTATCAGACTCACAACTACAGACTGGTCAATCGATCTCGGTCTTTTATTATTGTTTGCTTAATTTGTTGCAGGAGGAGCTGTTGTAGGAACGATTACAGGAGCAATTAAGGGCCAAACCACAGAAACTGGGTTCATTCGTGGTGCAGTAATCGGTGCACTCTCAGCCGCAACAGTGGCTATTGAGTTGCTTGAATCTTCTTTCATCGACGACAGTGCCGACTTATTATCCAAGGTTTGTTGATAGCTCAACATATATTCTCATGCACTGTAGTCTGTAGCTAGGATCTTATTATAATATAAATCCAACTCAAGTTATTTATTTATTCCAATCTCCTCTAACCATACTATTTATTTAGTTTTTACACAGTAAAAAACCTTAAAACAGAGAGAATGCATGTATTATTTCCTACTTTATAATTAAGAGGTTTGGAATAGAGAAAAGCTTCACAAAATAAGACATTTTAAGTAGCAGATGATGTGGGGCTAGGGCTATATATATTTATATCTGAAATTCTGAACCTGAACTCTGCAACTGCAACTACTAAATTAATTTTAGACATTCAATATTGACCACGTGCATGGAAATCTTGCCACGTTGGCGCTGTGGTCCGTGGGCCCATGGCCCGACCTGTCTGAAGGAGAAGGACCAGCTAGAGTCTAGAGATGCCGATACATGGACGATGGGTCCATACAATCAGGATTGGAACTTGACACCCAATCGATGGCTAAAAATTTTAGAATGGCAATTAAGTGTAGGTAAATGGGTGCCACTAATGAATATGGTTTGGTGGAATAATGATGGCAACCTTTCTTGGCTTGAATTCCATTCCACCTTCCACTGAAACAACCCTCCCATAAAATTGTCAGATACCCAGATGGACGTAGTCTCTTTCTCTCTCTCGATATTTATATTTATATATAGAAGTGCTATAATGCGCAGATTGCACTCTTTGGAAGGTTGGTAGAAGGAAAAGCTTTCCGCGAATGGGTGAGCCCTGCACTGCTAAAGGCTTACCAATGGCAAGTAAGTATGAGCAAAGAAATTAAAGACATTTACAAGTAGTAATTAATGGGCTAACATTTTGGGTTTGTTGTAATAATGATAATTAATTTATATACCCTTGTTTTATTTACAGATGGAAGTTCAGGTTATTAGCACGGCCGTCGAGTCAAATTACATTGAAATCTCGGACATTTACGACATTGATGGCACCAGAGGGATGCCATCCAACCTAGTAGACAAGCTGCCTAAATTCACTTTTTCTGGTGCCAAAATGACGCATCCCTGGGATGAAATGTGTTGCACCATTTGCTTACAGGTACCTTTCTTATTATTCTTTTTTCTTTTTCCTCTTCTGTGGCCAAACGCCCCTTAGGTCAGGTGTTTAATGCCCGTTTGCCTTTGGGAGCACCTGCTGGGATCGGGATCAAACATAACTTATTATTTGGCATGTTCACACATATGTAGCCTTTTAATTAATTTACACACAGACACAGCACTAATTGGCGAGTAAGTAGGAACAGATCCGGCTCATTTTGAATAGGGGTCTGAGCACTCGGGATTCTCTACCCATCATGAATTGGATACACATCTCTATGAGATGTATGATTCCAATTCACTGAAATCTGGACTCGATCAAGAGGGGCTTTAAATCCAAATTTATACCTGCTTGTTTGGTTATAACAATATTGCAAATTAATGGTATCGATTCATCGGAATTCAAATTCGAAAACAATTTAATCTATAGTGGAATATGGATTTACTCTAATCCTATCCTATTCGATTAGATGATAATATATAAATGACACATTTACATTTAATATGTGATTATAGTTTAATTCATCAATTGTACTTATCTTAATATGGTGGATATATAAGATTCGGATTCAAGTGCTAACACACATAAAATTTGGATCTCGGAATCTCAATCCGTTTGATGATTTGCTCCTCTTAGAAGCTAGAAATAAGGCTTTAAATTTTGTGTTTTTTTTCTTTCTTTGTTTTGGTTAGGATTTCAAGGAGGGTGACAGTGCAAGGAGACTCCCCAATTGCAGACACTTCTTTCATTTGCTCTGCATCGATCAATGGCTAGTTCGACATGGATCTTGCCCTATATGCAGACAAGATGTTTGATCTAAAAAAAGAGAAAGTGAAAAAGAAAAGCCAACTATTTGATTCAGACACCAAAGAAAGTAAAAAGTAGAAATAAAACAAGTTGTCAACATGCATTACTGGTAGTTTCCTCTATGGATCGCCTTCGACACAAGTTTTTGTATCTTCATTTTTCCTCGGCAAGAAGAGAACTTCATTCAATTTTGCAAGTATTTGTGCGAGAACATTGAAGCCTATTGCTTTGAACGATGATGAGCCCAGGACTTCTGTGGTTAGGATATGGTCGGTTCTATATATCTCCAAAGGCATTTGAGGATGCAGTATGCAGCTATCCTGTTTAAACTTTAAACCCAACTCCAAGCCAAAATGTTTGTATTTATAAGTAGCTTAGTGGGTAGTTTGGCCATTTTTCCTATGGCCCGGTTTATTTGCATTTGTTCTCTCTGGTGCAGTGTTGGAATGTAAATGATTATTTAAGTGCAAATTCTGAGTTATTTATTTTTTTAGCTTTTGCCTTGTTTTGTTATTGCCCCCTACTCCCCAATTGCCCCCTACTCCCCGTGCCCAGGGTCCTGACCCGGGTATGGGGAGTTCACGGGATGATGGGTGGATTTGCCTCGTGACGCTTTGGCCTTGGTTTGGAGCTTCTCCGGTCTGACCTGCTTGTGCTTTCGGCCCGATCAGGGTCGGCTTGGTTTGACAAGGGGTCAATCCCGGGTCATGTGCAGCTCACGCGCGGATGTCAAACGATTATAAATTTTCGGATGTCAAAAATTCGCGCTAAACTAACTTCACCTCGGGAGGCATGTAGCCAGTTTTTTTGGGAGCCGTTGGATGGTTTTGATCTTGGACATTGATGTGCGAGTACAGTGATTATAAATAGTGGGGGGCCCCTGGTCACTTTCCTTCGCCATTCTTCAGCATTCGTTCCTTGAGCTCGTGTCCAATGTTGTTAGCTTGCGTCATTCTTCGTAGTCCGATAGCTTTTCCCCGGTGAGTCCTCAGCCTTCTTTTCGATTCAATGTCCAGCTCGGGTAGTTTAGATAGTCTTCTAGGGGGGTCAAATGCTGGGTCCACGAACCGAGTTGCTGCCCCTGACAGCCTTAGTGAGTCCGAGGCGGGGCCCGAGGTAGAGATCGAGGAAGAGCTCGAGTTCGAGCCCGTAGGCCGAGTCACCTCGGGTAGCTTGGCATCCACCTCCCGTCGAGGTCGGATGCCAAATAAGTTCGGGCCTTCCACTATGACGCCCGAGAGGCTTCGATCCCTTATTGCTCAGTATAACCTGCCCGGGGAGTATACTTACATTTTACCCTCGGACGACTTTCCTTGGGAGCACGGTCCAGACGAGATCGTGATATTCCGGGAGCAGCTTGTTTCCGGGCTGAGCCTTCCTTTCCATCCCCTTATCGTCGAGGTCATGAATCACTTCGGCGTTACTGTCGATCAGCTTCACCCGAACTCCATTCGTAACCTTGTTGGGACCATCTCCCTTTGTTGCGAACACTGTCTTCCATTGGACCTGGAAATCTTTTCCGCCATTCTTATGCTCAAGAAGCAAGAGGGTCCCCTGCCCGGGCATAGGCGGGCCTACTACTTGTCTCCTCGTCCGAGGTTCAATCTTTTGCACGATCTTCCGAATAAGGTCCCGGCATGAAAGCGGGACTACTTCGTGGTTCGAAGTGCTATGGGGTGGCCGTTTCCTACCGAGTGGGGATTGGCTGTTCCTGATCCCGGTGCCACGTTAGATAAAGGTACGGCGAAGGGCCTCTAGAACTGGGCCAGGCTTGGGCTCGAATGCCAAGTCTACCTGACGGAGGCCAAGCTTATTCAGGCTGGTCTGAGTTCGGGTAGGTTTCTTGCTTAGAGGCTTGCTTTTGCTTTGTTTTTATTCTCGTCTTTTGACACCGAGCTCCTTTTGACACCGCTTCCCGAGGCACCGAGCCCTCTGAGAATGGAGCCTTCTGGGGAGCCCGAGGTGGCCCCTCCAGTTCAGGAAGCGGCGGGTGTCCCTTATGTCGATACTGCTTATACCCGGGCTGTGCCTTCAGGCTTGGGAAGTCAAGATGGGGTTGGGAGCGTGCTGATGCCGAGCTACACTCTCCGAAAAAGTAAGAAGGCTATTTTCCCTGAGGAGGTCACGGCGTGGGCCGATCTTCCTCCGAATCACATAGGCGCGCATGGTGCTACTCACGCCATGGTGGTAAGTCGAAGTAGTTTTTTTTTTTTTTGAAACGAAATGTAAGCAAAATTATTTTGTAATGAATAGTCCCCTTTTTTGGTTAAGTGTTGGGCAGTCATTTTCCCTTTTCGCCGAACTGACTATGTTGCCGAACTGCTAGACTTAGGCCCCGAGGCGAGTTAACATAGTAAGGCTATACGCCCGATCTGTTCTCCACCTGGGTTAGTTAACATAGGCTAGAATTGGGTCTTGGACTATGCACCTCGGGATCCATACTCGTGCAGCCTGCTTCATTGATGAGGTGTCGAGGTCATCTTCAGCTCGGCATTATAGCCCTTATGGTGCCGAGGTCCCTGTTAGCTCGGCATTCTAGCCCTTAGGATCTGGTTGTGGCCCATGGCCTGCTTAGTTTGATAATTTATAGGTAATATCGTCTTAAGTTGATGATGTTCCATGCCCGGGGTATTTGTTTACCCTCCAGGGTCTCGAGCTTGTATGCTCCCCCGAGTGCTCTCTTTACTCGGTAGGGTCCTTCCCAGTTCGGCTCGAGTTTGCCAATGTCGAGCTCAGGTACCATGACCTTGCGGAGAACCAGGTCACCGACGCGGAAGTTTCATCTCTTAACTCTAGCATTGTAGTACCAAGCTACCCTTTGCTGGTACGCTGCGGTCCTGATGTATGCGAGGTCCCTCACCTCGTCAAGTAGGTCAAGGTTGGTACATAGCTCATCGTTATTAGTATTGTCGCTGTATGCTTCCAACTGAAGTGAGGGGATTTTGATTTCGGCTGGGATGACTGCCTCCGTGCCATAGGTGAGGTTGAAGGAAGTTTCTCCGGTGGCGGTTGCAAGCAGTGCAAGTAGGGGAGCGTGTAGGATCTTCGGTACAGTCGTCCATCTATTATGACGTACTTGGCTGCTTGGCGCACTACACTCCTGGCGGCGTTGCGGTCTGCGGGGAGGGTTCCGTGTAGCAGGAAGTCGCAAGTGGATCAATCCAGCTCGGTTCTGCTTGGGCGACAGGAGCGACCTCCTCTGCCCCTCGGAGAATGCTAGGTCGAGGTAAGTTCTCTATGTACACAGTTCTCATGGTGTTGTCACTGGTGCTGGCTAGCCGGGACAGGGCGTCGGCCTCAGCGTTCTCTGACCTCGGGATTTGCTTGATGAAGTATGACTGGAAACTAAGCAGAGCCTCTTTTACCTTTGCCAAGTAAGCGATCATAGTTGACTCGCGGGTTTCGTATTCCCTTGTAACTTGGTTGACCACAAGCTGGGAATCGCTGCAGATAACTATGTGTTTTGCCTTTACCTCTTGTGCCAGGGTTAGCCCGGCTATCAACGCCTCGTATTCTGCCTCATTGTTGGATGCCGCGAACTCAAAGCGTAGCGCGTACTCCAGTTTCATGCCACTCGGACCGTGAAGAACTACACCGGCTCCGGTGCCCTGCTGATTTGAGGAGCCATCTACGTGAAGGATCCAGGGCTCTTCATCTCAGTTCGCACTCGGCCTAACCAGGAGAGATACTGAACTGGGTGCGACCTCACGGGGCTCGGACTCAACCGGCCTAGGAGCACCGAGCTTACCCCAACTGGGAGCCTCGTGCTGAACCGGGCTGAGGACCTCGGAGCTGAACGTGCATTCTACAACAAAATCCGTCAAGGCTTGAGCTTTGATAGCGGTTCGTGGCTTGTATTGGAGGTCGTACTCACTGAGTTCGATGGCCCACTTCGTCAATCGACCAGAGACCTCGGGCCTGAGTAATACTTGCCTCAAGGGTTTGTCGGTGAGGATGATGATGGTATGGGCTTGGAAATACGAACAGAGTTTGCGGGCCGCAATGACCAGCGCATAGGCTAGATTTTCTATCTCCGGGTATCTCGTTTCTGCTCCCTGCAATATTTTACTAACATAGTAGATGGGTCGTTGGACCCGATCTACTTCCTTTACCAGTACCGAACTGACCACTTCGTTGCTTGCCGAGAGGTATAGTTCTAAAACATCACCCTCTTCGGGCCGGGTCAATACTGGGATACTGGCGAGGTATCTCTTGAGCTCGTCAAATGCGAGCTGGCATTCCGGGTTCCACTCGAACCCTTTGCCTTTTATTGCCTTGAAGAAGGCAGGCAACGGTCTGCTGATTTAGACATGAAACGACTCAGAGTGGCTATTCTGTCGTTTAGCCTCTGAATCTCTTTCACTTTTTGGGGTGGTCTCATATCTAGGATGGCTTTTATCTTGTCCGGGTTGGCCTCAATACCGCATCGGTTGATGATATACCCTAGGAACTTACCCGAGGTGACACCAAAGACACACTTATTTGGGTTTAGTTTTATGTTAAATTGACGCAGAATTTGAAAGACAAAATGCAGATCTTGTATCAATTGATGCGAAAACTGTGTCTTGACGACCATGTCGTCTACATAACATTCTATCTTTGTGCCAAATAAGGGTTGAAACAGCTTGTTCACAAGCCTTTGAAATGTTGCCCCAACATTTATCAGTCCGAAGGGCATAACCTTGTAGCAGTATAGGCCGAACTCGGTTACGAAGGCGGTTTTTTCCTCGTCGGCTGGGTCCATCCTGATTTGGTTGTAGCCCGAGTAGGCATGCAGGAAGCTTAGCAACTCATGTCCCAAGGTCGCGTCCACTAGGCGGTCAATCCTGGGGAGAGGGAAGCAATCTTTTGGGCAAGCTCGGTTTAGGTCGGTGTAGTCGACTGACATGCACCACTTGTCGTTTGCCTTTTTTACCAGAACGGGGTTGGCTACCCAGCTCGGGTAATGAACTTCCCTTATGAAGTCTGCTGCAAGGAGCTTCTCGTCCTCCTCATCGACCGCCCTCTAGCGTTCTGGGGCTAAGTTGCGTTTCTTCTGTCTAATGGGTCTAACTACAGGGTTAGTATTAAGCTTTTGAGTTATGAGCTTAGGGTCTATGCCGGGCATTTCTGCCGCGGACCAAGTGAAAACATCTAAGTTACTGAGTAAGAAGCGTACCAGTTCGGATCACAAGGGTTCTTCC